CAGAGGCCTTCCTTGTCCTCTGGGGGCAGGGAGAACAAGCAGATGTTTGAAGGAAATTTAGAAAATTGATGATGAGAACAATGAAAACAGAAATTCTTGACAGCACTTATGTAGGACTGTGAAAGGTCAGCATGGTTTCTGGTCGAGCACCGGCTAGAAATCGCCAGAGAACCCAGGTGATCCTAAGGGATGGCATTCATTTCGCCACACTCCCAGTCTCCAGGCTCCTGACAGTGAAAACCTCCATAGAGTGGGGTCCTCCATTCAGGACAACGCTCACTAGCCCCTCCACAGGTAAAGGTCGTGACTACAGGCCACAGTGCCTCAAGACAGATCTCCATATTAATGAGATACAACCCAACACACTTAGGTAGGAAAAATTTTAAAAGTGAAGTAAAATCTTTGCAGAAATAAAAGTCACTTTAGCATTTGGGATCTAGCTGAAAGATAGAGCACTTCACATACAAAAAACTCACTCAAAATTATTTAAGGTATACAGAATGAAATGCTAAATAACACAGATAAAAGAGTCAGACATGGTGGCACACGGCTGTCATCCGAGGATTCAGGCTGCTGAGGCAGGGGGATGGCAAAAGCTAGAGGCCAGCTGGTCTACAGAGTGAGTTATAGCCAGCCAGAACTATATAATGAGATTCTGCCTCAAATAGAGGAAAGGATGATAAACATGGCCCATGAAAAGACAGTAGCTGACAAAGCAGGAATAGAGAAGCCAAAGGGGGGAAAATACCTGATAAAACAAAAGAGCCAGGCCAGGTGCCTTTAGTCCCAGCACTCAGAAGGCAGAGACAGGCCAATCTCTGTGAGTTCAAGGACAGCCTGGTCTACAGAGCAAGTGCCAGGACAGCTAGCACTACCTAGTTAGTTCCAGGACAGCCAGGGCATGTAAAGAGCTACTGTCTCAAAAGCAAAAACAAGAGAGAGCCTCAGGTGCACACCCAGGCTAGCCAAGGGCTCTGTGGAGACGTAGCATCAGGAGGAGACTCACAGGACCAAAGAAGCAGTCTTCAGAACAGACTGACACCCCACCACTAAGAGAAACACATAGTCTCTGGAGGAAGTGTCTAGGCAGTGGCCCAGACCTAGAGATGACATTAACAACTCTACCGAGGCTCACATTCTGCCAGCAAACAACACCCACCATCACCCCTGCTCTGCCGCTATGCAGTGTTAGAAATGTCTCTAGATGCCGCATGTGATGGACCATGTCTTCATTCCTAGTACTCAGGAAGCAGAGGCAGGCAGATTTCTGTGAGGTCAAAGCCAGCCTGGTCTACATGGAGACATCTAGGCCAGAGCTACACAGAGAAACCCTGGCAGAGGGAGGGAGGGAGGGAGAGAGAGAGAGAGAGAGAGAGAGAGAGAGAGAGAGAGAGGGAGAGATGCAGAGACAGACAGAGATAGAGACAGAGAGATAGAAAGAGATTCTGGCTCTCTTTACATTTATGTAATTTATGGAAACTCATTTAGTCTTACGGAGCCTCGGTTTCACCATCTATAAATGGAGGTAGTCATAGCTCCACCCTCCTGGAGTCCCTATGAGGATTAAGGGCAGCATATGAACAAAGCACTCATCAACCTGTCTGATACATCATCCTTCTGGGGTCAGCATTAGCCACTCTCTAGGGATAACTCACTGCCTTGGGGCGATGCTTCCCATCACCAGACCTGCTGTAGGCTGCTACCCCGTCTTTTCCCTCCTAATTCCTTCTCTACAAAGGCTAACATGAACGCATGCATCCATGTACGCACGCACTTGGCACACGCGCACAAACACAAGTTACTCTTCGGTGCTTAGTTCTGCTTCCGTCTCTCTGCTACAAACTGGCCATTACTCCACATTGCTCTCCTTGCTGCAGTGTCTGGGAGGAAAAGCCCATGGAGAAGTTCTGGGTGAGCCTCCTTCCAAAGTTCCTGGTACACAGGATAAGGTGACCTTTGCCAGTGAGTGGATTAATATGGATGGACAGATGGGCAGGTGGACATGCTCCCACATGTGTTGGTGACCTGGACTGGCACTCCTCAGCTACCTTCCACCCCCGGGGTGTAAGTCTGAGATTGGAACATGGGTAGTGACAGTGAGATCAGCACACTCATGGGTCCAGGATGGGGAAGGGGGCTGCAAGGCCTGGGAACAGGTATGGAGTGACTCCCATGGAACAAGTCTGAGTAGGCTTTGAGAAAGAGGTGGCCTTTGGGCAGACATGATGACTCTCAGACTTCTGGACATTACCGGTATAAGGATGTACAGGGCAGGTCTCCGGCCCAGCCAGTTCATCAACTCACACCAGAGTGGTGCTGACATCACCCTGCCCCTCAGGCTTCATGACCACCAGGAACCTCCTTAACCTGTCTGTGCCCTGGCATAGTCATGACATCTGCGTCTGAGAGACTCTGTTGTTAATATCCTAGCACTCTTCTCCTAGGGGTTCGACTTCCACTCCTTAGTAAGCCTGTCCCTCACTCTTGTGCTATCTGCAGGCTCCCAGCCCAGAGGCTCCTTCTCTGCGCCCCTCCCCCAGCTCTTTCCTCAAGTGCTTCCCACAAGCAGAATTCTCCCACTCCTCCTTCACTGAGAAACCCTCAAGTCCCCCCCCCCCCCCAATTTACACTCCTTTCCATGAGGTGACAGCTACTGGGAGGGTGGGAGAGTGGATGACAACCTACCGGCAGCTTTACTCACTCTTTGTGATCCTGAGTTCCAGGTTCCAGGCCTGATTACCTCAGAGGTTCAACCATCCATCTCTCAGTTCCTTGAGTAAGCACTCTTTACACATCAAAATACCTCCTCCTGGAAATCCTGCTGCACCCTTCCCATCCTCCTCTAAGAAGACAGAGAGACACAGAAGTTGAAGGGATACTAGTCACAGGGGTCACAGGGGTCAGCCGCAGATCCGAACATGGGGCAGAGAGCCACAGAACAGACTCAATGAGCATTAACTGACCCCAAAGCCATATAGCTATTAAAGGAAGTGCCCAGATCCCAGGTTTCTTAGGGATACCAGGTCTCAGAGGTGGTGGCCTGTGGCCTGTGGCCTGACATGAGAAGTGGATATAACTCTCAGTCCCCATGTCCTTATGGAGGCTGGTCACAGCTGTGGCACCCACAGCCCTCTGCCAAGCCAACCCCCAAAGCTGACTCTGGCCTTCCATTCAGGTACCATGAAAGCTATGTCCTCATGCCCACCAGGTGCCTTCTTACCTGGCTACAACCACACCTGAGCCCCCGGCAGCCCTGTGTAATTATGGGCCTCCACTTTGCACTCTCCTGGAACCCTTTGCCCCCCTCTACTCCCAAACCTGGCTGCTGCAGGGCTCTGGGTGGACCTAGCGCATACAGGGCGGGCCTCTTAAGACCAGGCGTGTGCCTCCAGGCCGCACGGCGCCGCACAAACTTGTCTCCCAGGATTTTTCCACACGAAACACGTCTCCCAAGGAAGCAACCGGTCTGATGAGATGGGCGTGCAGCATTCCCACCCCACCCTTGGGTGCCCCCACGGTACCATCTCCAAACAGAGGCTGTTGCCCACAGGAGCTGGGCCCTGATGGAGCCCACCGCAGGATCTCGGACCCGGATGGAGCCCAGGAGGACTTGTCCTACAACAGTGACCTCTAGAATGAGCCAGGGGGCCAGTGGGATCCAGACCAGCGGCAAGGTAGGCTGCCCAGTCTCTACCTCCACCCACGACCAGTAGACCCAAGCCAGACTCTATCCTGGGAGTGGAGGGCTTCACCCTCCGTGCTCTCTCCCGAGCAACCTCTGACCTCTGATTCCCATCCTCCAGCCCTTCCTACTCACCCTGATCTTGTCCCTGATGCTCTTTCTCCTAGTACACCCCGTTTCCAGGATTCTGCACCTAGTCACCCTCTGTTAATGTCTTTAAGAGACCAGGACTCTTAAAGGGCCTGGTGTGGGATGGAGAGCTCAGGCTGAGCCCAGGGGCTAGGTTCTAGAAAGAGATACAGCCTAAGGGTAGAGGCCCAGGAATGCTTAAGGGAAGTCCCCGGCATATGAGGCAACTTGTCCCCATATGCCAACTCTCCTAGTTTTGTCTTTTAACCTTCCCAATCCACCTAGATGGTAGACCTAACTCATATCATGTTAGTCTTCCTGACAGGGGTGCTTGGGAGACCTTCTAGGAACAAGCTCTGGTGCCCCTCACTTCCAACCTTCCTACTTTCTCTAGCCCAGCTCTCCCCCCAAACCTCCTGGCCCCCCAGCCTGGCAAGTGCTGACACGAGCCTAGGCCCCTCTGAGTCAACCCCCTGGGGCGGCCCCGCCTGCCTGCCCTGACTCATATGTTGGGAACGGGCCTCCCACCCCAGGCCTGGGGGGCAGAAGCTGGGGAGAGGTGCCAGAAAGAGCCAAGCAGCCCTTCTGAAGCCTCTGTACAGGTAGAGGCTGGGGTGAGTTTCTAGGTTGACAGGTCAGGGGGTAGACATATGTCTACCTCACTGGGCTCTCTTACTGAGTTGACAGGCCCAGGTTTAGGGCCATCATGGAGCTGCTTTTGACTCTAAAACTCCAGCGCTCAAGTTCTTTATCCTCTACCCAGACTCTACAAACCTGAAACTGTCTCAGAATGCCAACCCTACTGGGACCACACCAAGCCTGTGTCCAGCTGTCTTGGAGGCTGCTTGGTCTTTGATGCTCCAGAGCTCCCAACCCTCAGGCTGGGACATTCCTTTTCATATGGCTTGTAGTGACAGGCCCCCGCAGGCTCCCTGCCCTACTCTCATACTAAGAACGCTGGCACCCATGGGGTTTGGTCTGGGCTTGGAAGACTGAGAGCAAGTAAAACTCGCGTCCCTGTGGCCCTGTCCTGGGATAGGAGAAAAGGGAAGGCCAGGCGACTTGAGGACAAGCAAGGCCAGTTCTTCCGCCCAAATTCCACCTTAAGCAGGCAGAGGCCCCTCCCTCCCACCTGGCCCAGGTGTCCCCGCCCCCAGCCAAGCTCTGGGCTGGGCGGGCGTCTGTCTAAGAGAGCCAGCCAGGAAGAGACTCTGGAACCGGGCCTCGAGGGACAAGACCAGGGAGAGGCCCAGGACAGGTGGGCTGGCTAGTCGCCCCTGTCACTATGCAGGAAGGTAACTTCCTGCTGTCTGCCCTGCAGCCTGAGGCTGGGGTTTGCTCCCTAGCGCTGCCCTCGGACCTACAGCTGGATCGCCGGGGTGCTGAGGGGCCGGAGGCTGATCGGCTTCGAGCTGCCAGAGTCCAGGAGCAAGTCCGAGCCCGCCTCCTGCAGCTGGGCCAGCAGTCGCGGCACAATGGGTCTGCTGAGCTTGATGGCTCCGCGGAGAGCGCCAGAGGTAGGCCAACTTTGGGTATGGTAGGCGACAGAGGGTAATGAAGTTAGTAGTGGTGACAGTGGCCGGTGGAGGTGGCTAGGGCAGGAGTGGAGGTGCCAGGGACAGAAGCCGTACAAGCTCGGGGTTCAGGCTTTGACTCACCTTACAGAGGCCTGCTCTGAGTCACTGCCCCGCCCCAGCAGGCATAGGGAACAGCCTGGGTGGGGCATCCCTTCTTCCCCAGCCAGGACAGGGGTCCCGGGGCTGGGCCTACCCACTTAAGTTGGAAAGACTCGGGAGGCACAAAGTGAACAGCCAGGCCCACCTGTCGGCAAACCCCCGACACATTCCCTCCCAGCACCACAGAACACAGGCATACTTGAGGTCTCAGAGAGGCCAGAGTGCCTCCTAACCAAATGGGAGAGAGTCTAATAGTAGTATACCAGAGAGGGGTGATCCTGGATAGAGCCCAGGTCTGTCTGGAGCAGGGGCTCCCTGAGGAATTGCAGAACTGGGCCTACCAGGAGTGACCCAGATACACTTCATGAGAATAGCCCACAAGGTACTCCTCAGGGGCAGCGTGTGTGTGTGTGTGTGTGTGTGTGTGTGTGTGTGTTTTAGAGGGTCACTCAGATATGCTGGGTTCAAGGCAGTCACTCCAGAAACTTCATCTCCATACCTGCCAGGCTATAACAACAGGAATTAAATTTAGATGGTACAATGAACCTCTGTTCGGAGGTCCAGACCTCAGTTCACTGTGGTCCCATGATGTCTGGCTAGGAGAGGGTTGACTGGCAGAAGGGAAGGTCAGGAACTGGATGGCTGCCTAAAATCTTTCTGAGCCTAAGTCTTACTGGAGCCAAGTTGATGCCCAGGGGTCATGGGGTGGGGGAGGGCACAGGGAGGGGTTAATTATCACCTGGCTACCCTGCCAATTAGGGGGAGGAGGATAGTAATTTGGGGGTGGGCGTAAGGTCCCCAGGCTGGGGTGTGCTCCCTAGGCTGGCCCTCACTAGCGTCAAAGGGTTAACAGCCCCTGCCCAGAAGCCTCATTAACCTGGGTGGGTCTGAGGAACATCATCATGCTCACCCCCTGAGCCGAAATGAAAGGAGAGAAGGAAGGCCCCTTCCCCATACAGATACTGACTTCTGTAGTTGGTGCTCTGATGCTGACCTCTGCTTAAGGAGCTCTTCCCAAAGCTAGAGGAACCTTGGCAAAGGCTGAGTCCACCCAAGGCCTGCCCACTGTCACCATCAACTCTTGGGATGATGTTTCCTGTGAGGCCTCACCTCTGCCTCTCTACCTTGCACCATTCTCTCTCTGTTCATTCAGTTGCCTGGGTTTTTGTTTATTTTTTTTATTTTTTAAATTTTTTTGGTTTTTCGAGACAGGGTTTCTCTGTGTAGCCCTGGCTGTCCTGGAACTCACTCTGTAGACCAGGCTGGTCTCAAACTCAGAAATCCGCCTGCCTCTGCCTCCCAAGTGCTGGGATTAAAGGTGTGCGCCACCACCGCCTGGCTTATTTTGTTTTTTAAAGATTTATTTATTTTATGTATGTACACTGTAGCTGTCTTCAGACACACCAGAAGAGGGCACTAGATCCCATTACAGATGGTTGTGAGCCACCATGTGGTTGATGGGAATTAAACTCAGGACCTCTGGGAGAGCAGTCAGTGCTCTTAACCACTGAGCTATCTCTCCAGCCCCAGTTGCCTTTTTACTATACACCCATGTGATCCTCTTTCACCTCCTTCTCCCCTTCCAATCTGTTCATCCACATATTCTAAACTTCTGACCAGCCCTCCCTCCCCCACCCTACCTTTCTGTCCACTGACCATAGAGCTGGGCTGTTGCCCTGTCCTCAGCTAATGTGCAGCTGGGTGGTGTAGGTGTGGTGCCTGTCTCGGGCTCTACCAGGTGGTTCTACCACTGCTACTCTGAGCAGACTGATCCAGAGAGACTGCATCCTTGGCCTATACAGTGTCACTCCCTTGTGACTGTAGTACAGATGCAGTCTGGGCACAAGAGGAGCTCATTGGAGATCACGGTGGGCTGAGGTAGGTTGGTCTGGCTTCCTGGAGGGACCAAATGCTGTGCTCTGGCAGGGACTGGGCAGCTGATGGAGACCCTGGCATCTTCTCCAGGCAGCCCAGAGGTCAGCAGGGTGAGTTGTCTGGACTCTTTTGAACAGAGAAGGCAGTTTGGAGTTCTAGGGAAAGAGGACCTACCAGAACAGACTGGATGAAGCCAAGCTGCATCCAAGGCAGAATCATGGGCTGATGCCACACCCAGGGTTGTGATCAGAGACCTCTGGCAGAAAAAAGAAGAAAAGCCAACACTTTTCTATTGGTCATGGTGTCATGGTTATCACTGTCTCTGTCCACAGGCATGCCCAGGGGTCAGTACCACACTATGCAGACTGGCTTCAGCTCCCGATCCCAGTGCATGAGTGGAGACAAGACCTCGGTGAGTCAGGGAGTCAGCTCTGCAGTCCACACTGAGGGGGAGGCTTTACAGGGGAGGCTGGGAGCTCCGGATCAGAAGGGGAGGGTGCCAGGCAAACCCCAGATACCCCTTCACTGTGCCCTCCCCTCCCGTAGACCTTCCGGCCCATCGCCAAGCCGGCCTACAGTCCAGCCTCCTGGTCCTCCCGCTCAGCTGTGGATCTGACCTGCAGTCGGAGGCTGAGTTCTGCCCACAATGGGGGCAGTGCCTTTGGGGCTGTGGGATATGGGGGTACCCAGCCCACTCCACCTATGCCCACCCGGCCAGTGTCCTTCCATGAGCGAGGTGGGGCAGCCAGCAGAGCTGACTATGACACATTATCCCTGCGCTCACTGAGGCTGGGACCAGGGGGCCTGGATGACCGTTACAGCGTGGTATCTGAGCAACTGGAGCCTGCAGCTGCCTCTAGCTACAGGGCCTATGCTTATGAGCGCCAGGCTAGCTCCGGCTCTAGCCGAGCAGGAGCCCTGGACTGGCCAGAGGCCACTGAGGGTCCACCCAGCAGGACCATCCGTGCACCTGCCATGCGAACCCTGCAAAGATTTCAGAGCAGCCATCGAAGCCGTGGGGGTACTGGGTCAGTGTCAGGTGCTGGCCTGGAGCCGGTGGCCCGAGCCCCATCTGTGCGCAGCCTCAGTCTTAGCCTGGCTGACTCAGGCCACCTGCCGGATGTACGTGGGTTGGACAGCTACACAGGCCATCGAACCCTGCAGAGGCTCAGCAGTGGGTGAGGAGCTGGGCTTGGAGCAGGGAGGGGACTGTAGCTCACAGTCTGGCCCACACTTAAGGTCTGCCTGGCCACTGACTAACCCCTGGTTCTACAGCTTTGATGACATCGACCTGCCTTCAGCAGTCAAGTACCTCATGGCCTCAGACCCCAACCTGCAGGTGCTGGGAGCAGCTTACATCCAGCACAGGTGCTACAGTGATGCGGCAGCCAAGAAGCAGGTGACAAATCCCATGCACTGTGCCCTGCTATCTCTTGATAGCCCTCACTGGCCCTGGTGCCCCCGATGATTATCCTCACTAGCCCCTAACCTTCCCTGAACTATGGTCCTTGTCCCTGCTTGCTAACCACTGGGCTGGCTGGGCAAAACTCACCTTCCTATATCCTCAGCAAAGAAAGGATGGGAATGCCCTGTGTGTATATACCTGCATCACCAATATACACCTGCATACATATACATCATACACACATATACATCGTATACATCATACACACATACCTGTGGGATATCTATGCTGCATCATCTCCATAGACCTCAATATGCATAAACAGTCCTGTATACTCCTGTAGCATATATAGTCACCATATCCATACACCTGCACCCCCAAAATATGTTTGCATCCATTGTGTCCAGATTTGCATATCCCCTGTACCGCCTGAATTACCTCCATACATACGCATAGTTCCATGCTTGTGGACATGTCTGCAAGCATGTTCACAGTCTGCATATGCCCACATATCTATGTGCCACAGGCTCGCAGCCTTCAGGCAGTGCCTAGACTGGTGAAGCTCTTCAACCACGCCAACCAGGAGGTGCAGCGCCACGCCACGGGTGCCATGCGCAACCTCATCTACGACAATGTTGACAACAAGCTGGCGTTGGTCGAGGAGAATGGCATTTTCGAGCTGTTGCGGACACTTCGGGAGCAGGATGATGAGCTACGCAAAAACGTTACAGGTACCTCGGTGCCTCTTCCTCTCCATTCTGTCCCCCTCTTTTGGCCCTCCCCGTCCTGTACCCACTGCCCACCATACTCCCCTCTCTTCCTCCTTTGTCCTCAACAATCTTTGTCTTATGCCTTCTCTGTCCCAGCTTGCATTTGCAGGGACTTGTTGTTCAAGTTTCTTGCTGCTCTTGTCTCTTACCTTATTGTCACTTGGTGGATATGCCTTGTATTCAACAAGCGTGCGTGTGGAGGTCAGAGGACACCTCTGGTAGTCATCTCCTTCAACTCTGGGTTCTGGGGACCAAACTCTGGTAATCCGGCTTGTGCTTTACCTGCTGAGTCATTTTGCCAGCCTATTATTTATTTATTTATTTATTTATTTATTTATTTATTTATTTAGACAGGAACTTACTATATAGCCTTGGCTGTCTTGAAACTCACTGTGTAGATCAAACTAGTCTTGAACCCATAGAGATCTGCCTGCCTCTGTTTCCTGAGTGCTGGAGTTAAAGGTGTGCCACTATGCCTGGTTTCTATTATTTTTTAAAGATTAGTTTATTTTATGTATATGAAGTTTTTGCCTACATGTTTGTATGTTTACCGTACAAACTGGTAACCAGAGAGGTCAGAATAGGCCATTGGATCCCCTGAAACTAGAGTTACAGATGGTTATTAAAAGCCATGTTGGAAGTGGGAACCAATCCTATGTCTCCTATAAGACCAGCAAGTGCTCCACTCAGCCATTTCTCCAGCCCCTGATATACATATATATTCAATTTATTGATTTTATTTTATATGTATCAATGTTTTGCTTGCATGAATGTCTATATACCACATGCATGCCCTGTGCCCATGGGATTCAGAAGAGGGCATCAGCCCCCCTGGAACTGGAGTTAGAGATGATTGTGAACTATCATGTAGGTGCTGGGAATTGAAACCAGGTCCTCTGGAAGAGCAGCCTGTGCTTTTAACCAACCCATTCTCATCATCCCACTCTGTACACCAAACTTGCCTTCATCTCACTATGTCTCACACTCTGGCCATGAACTCATGGTAATCCTACCTAGGCCTTCTGAGTTGTTGAGATTACAGGCATGAGCCATCATGCCAAGTTAAACTTCTTATTGTTGTCAGTGGTCGTCGCTGTTATGTGTATTGCTTGTTTTTGAGACAAAGTCTCACTATATAGCTCTGGCTGACCTAGAACTCATGTAGACCAGGCTGGCCTCACATTTACAGAAATTACTTGCCTGTGTTTCCCAAATGCTGGGGTTAAAGGCATGTAACTTATGCCTGTCGATTGTTTATGAGAGAGGGTTTCTTTGTGTGGTCCAGGATAGCCTCAAACTCATAGCAATTCTTCTATTTTTAGCTTCTTAGATTCCTAGATTGTGTCTCACCCACAAAACTATTTTTGCGACTTTTTATTCTTGTTTTTCTGTGGCGCTGTATGGTACTCAAGTGTACAAGCGGAGCAAGTGGTCCCACTGAGCAACATTGAGCCCAGGCTCTCCCTTCCCATTCACTTCCACTCCTAAGCCTTCAAATCCCCACCCCTTGCCTTTCTTGCTCTGCTCCTGCCCTACGCCCGCAAAGGTCACAAGTAAGGCAAGGCTTCAAGAAAGTGTGGGGTCAAGAGCTGAAGCGATGGCCCAGGGAATGAGAGTGTTCGCTGCTCTTCCAAAGCACTCAAGTTCTGTTCCCAGCACCTACACCAGGCAGCTCATAACTGTATGTACCTCCAGCTCCAGGCGATCAGATGCTTTCCTCTGGACTCCCCCGTACCTGTACTCATATGCTTATGATACACCCCTGCATGGACACACACATCATTTTTAAAAAGAGAAAGAAAGAAAGAAAGAAAGAAAGAAAGAAAGAAAGAAAGAAAGA